GGGCTGGGCCGGGCCGCCGCAGGGGTCGGGCGTTGGGGCGCCTTGGGCGTGGGGGCGCACCTGGAGGGTGTCAGTGAGCGTGGGAGCGGGAGGAGGCGCGGGAGTAGCGCGGACTTGGGGCCTGCAGGTCTGGCCCCCCTCTGGCGGCACAGGCAGGAGCCCAGAGCAGGGTGGGGGAGGGCGCTGGCCGTCTGATGGCCAGACCGCCCGGGGCGGCGGCAGAGCGCGGGCTGCCCACCCAGGGACGGGGCGTGCTGAGCCCGGGTCAGGTGGGCACCCGCCCTGCCCCGAGCCACAGGGGCTGAGCTGCGGGGCGGCCCTGAGGCCCGCGTCTCCCCAGGGACCTACAACCTGAAGTGCTTCGCGTGCACCATGATCAACACCTTCACCTGCCGGAACCTGGTGGAGTGCGTGTACGAGATCCGCCGCTGCTTCACCGTGTCCATCCGTGAGTCCCTCAGGCGCAGAGGCCGACAGCCCTCCCGGCGCCCGGCCGGCGTGAGCGCCAGGGCGCAGAGCTTCCTGCTCAGAGAGGCCCCGCGGCCGCCCCAGGAGACTGATGTGCGGAGGCCGGGGAGGCTGGAGAGGGAGGGCAGGAGGGTGGAGCCCGCCGGCCCCTCCGGTGTGGCCCCTGGCAGCCCAGGCGGCATCCGGCGACAGGAGCGAGGGCAGAAGCAGGCTGCAGCCTGTCTGCAAGGCCGTCCCCCAGCAGCCGCCCCCCAGGGCGCCCCCTCCCTGGGGGCAGGGCCCTGGAGCCTCTCCTGCCCCTGGAGAAGGCCCCCCGCAGGACAGGGAGGGGTCCCGCGTTTGCTTCCGTGCGGGATGGGGGGCTGCAGCCGGAGCGGGTGCCTGGCCGGCCTTGCGGTGAGTTTCAGCAGCGCAGTGGTCGCCCGGGAAAGACGGCTGCAGGGGTGGCCCGGTATGCTGGGGCCGGGAGACAGACTCCAGCAGAAGCCTTGACGCAGCAGAGTGACCTGCGGGCACTGGGCGCCTGGCCGCGTGAGGAGGGGCTGAGGCCAGGGCCGGGCCTCTCGGGCGACCTTGGGCTGGGGTGGGCACGCGCCAGCATCCAGGAAGCCCCCCCAGATGCGCTGACCACAGCGTCCTTCAGCAGTGCCCAGCAGGCAAAAAGGGGAGGCAGAGAGCTCCAGGCGGACCCGCTGCCCAGAGCTGCCCGTGTGGCGTCCGTCCAGTGCTCACGCCAGCAGCGCTCCCAGACCAGCACCTATGTCCCCGCTGCGCCTGCTGCTTCCTCACAGCGCCCAGCAGCGGCCGGCGTGGTCTGTGCCTGGGCCTGTCCTGCCGGCGTGGCCGCGGACAGTTTGAACATCTGCAGAGCCCGGTGCCGGAGGGGCAGCGGCGAGCGCGGTCCACCCTGGGCCCGAGACCGGGCCCTGCCTGTGCCTCAGCCGGCCGCCTGTGGCCCTGGTGACGGCGTGCTGGCTGCCCACAGTGTCTGGCCCTGGGCCCTGGGCCGGTCTGGGGCGGGCGTGGGCGCTGGGCCGGGGGTCCCGCGGGCACAGCGCGGGCACCTTGATCCCTTGCCCGTCCTTTCTAGGCCTCAACTCCCGCGAACTGCTCGTTTACAAGAATTGCACGAACAACTGCACGTTCTTGTATCCGGAGCAAGTCCCCGGCGAGACCCCCCGGAAGGTGAAGACCACGCATTTCTACTTCGTGCGCTGCTGTGGGGGCATGCGGTGCAACGACGGGGGGCCCACCAACCTGGAGCGGGACATCCTGCCCGAGGAGACCGTGGAGGAGGAGATCGAGGCGGCCGAGCGCCTGGGCGGGCCCGGGCTGCTGTTCAGCCTGGCCTCTCTGCTGGCCAGCAGGGCGCTGACCTGACCGCCTCTGTGCACGGCCCCTGGGTCTGGCGGAGACTGCGGTGCGGGCCGGCCGGCCGCTCCCCGCGAGCCGACTCTGGGGCGCAGTAAAGAGCTCGGAGTCGGGGTCTCACTTCAGTGTCTGGTGGTGTCTGTGCGTGACCCCGCCCGCCCGTGCCCTGACTGGCCCAGCACACTGGCCGTCCGGGCAGCAGAGGCTGACAGTCCCCGTCCAAGCCAGCTGGTGCTCACACCTCGGCCCCGGGCCCACAGGCCGCCCGCACTTCCCAGGTGGGGGAGCAGCGGGGACGCCCCTGGAGGTGGCGGGGGTCGGGACCCTGGCTGGACTCTGGTGTGGGCTGCCTGGCGCAGTGCGCAGAAATGCAGGGACGGGTGAGGAGGGGCGGGGGCAGGTCCGCAGGTGGCCTGTGCCAGTGGCTGCCGTGGACAGGGCTCAGCAGCTGGGCAGGGGCGCGCCCCGCAGCGGGGACAGCTCAGCCGGCAGCCTGATGTCCCCTGGGTCACCAGGCCTCTGCTCCTGGGGCTCTGCGAGGGGGCCCGGCCTCCAAGCCTTGCAGGCCCAATGTTCCCCCCAGAGTCCACTCAGGAAGGGCAGCTGCGTAGTCTTCAGTGCGCCGGGGCAGAGCGGCCGAGCCTGTGCTCTGACCTGTGCCGCCTGCAGGTCGTTGCTGCCCGCCAGGTGCCTGTGGGAGCCAGGGCCACCGCCTGCTGGGCAAGCTGGGGCGTGGCCGCGAAGCCTGTCCCGCTGGGGTGGCAGCATGCTGCCTGGGGTCCGTGGGGTGGTGCCACCTGCGCTGGAGGGCTGAGACACGCCCCCAAGGAGCCCCCTGCACCTGTGAGCCCGCCAGGCCCCGCAGCAGACAGGAAGGCAAACGGCACAGCAACGGGGCTTCATTTCCAAAACCAGGAAAGTGACCAACTTCAACCCAAACAGTGGGCCGGGGAAGACTCAGCCCGGGAGGGGCGTGGCCGGGAGGGGCGTGGCCTGGAAGGGCGTGGCGGGGAGGGCGGCCCCGTTGGGGGTGGGCAGCAGGAGGCGGTAGCGGGGTGCGGCTGTTCCAGGTGGGGTCTGGTCGCGGGCATCATCGGGACGTGAGGACCCCGAAGTCCTGGGGTTTGGGGTCGGATGGCCAAGGGTGGGCCTCAGTGACCCCACAAGCCAACAGAAGACGCAGGACCCCAACAGCGCCCGCGAGACGCGCGCCTCTTCCGTCCATGCGCCCTGCCCAGTCCCAGGCTCAGGCTTCTCGAACCTTCCAGGCCCCTGCTAGAACAGAGATCCCTGGGCCCCGGCGTCCCTCGCGCGTGTAGTGCCCTTCGAGCGGCGGTTTCCCAGCGGGCTGCGCGCTTCTAGAAGGTTCTAGCCTGTGTGTCCTGTTCTTCGAGGCCCGACCCCAGAGAGGTCCTAGGAGGGTGATAGGGTGGGCGGGGGGTGCAGGCGCCTGCGGGGAGCAGCGTGGGTGGCAGTGCGGGGGCGTGCTG